GGGGGCTACATTGACTTTTAAAATTTGATATGCCAGCCGGGTCAGCACAAGATGTGAATGGAAGAGCTATGTGTTGTAGGATTGCCTACAACACATAGCTCTTCCATTCCCTATCTTTTTATGATTTTATGTCCTGTTTTTTATATAATATCTCGCTTACAAATTTTTACATTGTATTTTCTTATTGTCTGTACAGTGTCCTTGGGTGGCATGAAAGGCGCTTTTAAATAAAATGCATTATTATTATTATTATTATTAAGACACGGTACATATACAAGTTTTTTTTTTTTCAAAAAACTGCATTTGTTGACGGTCCATATCAAACATGAACAGAACAAAGGAATTCAAGTATGAATCTACTTTTTTTCATGAGAACAGTGTTGTTGATCACCTATTTCAGCCAGTGCATTGCTGCAGACGAGTTGTGGTCCAACCAGTAGAAGTAGAGCGGTACAATAAGTATTTTCTAGTCATGAACCATATTTGCGGTGTCCAATCTTTCCTTATAACAGAGTTTCCGTTTGCGGGATACGACTACCTACCTATGTGGGATGTCCTTTATGAACGTGCAAGTATGTTACCAACAAACACGTGTGACAACACAAGCAACAAATTGCAACCATATGTTGACCAAAAAGTGTTTCTACCACAAAAACTGCAGCATACAGTACAGGTATGTGAACCAAATAGTCCAAACAAAGTTTGCTGCAAAATGAGACGAGTAAGAGACCTGGTGGCTTTTCTTTCCACTCACCCGCTGTCTCAAATTTGACCTCCCCTCGATCACCACCCAAAGCTCATCTGATGTCGTGCAACAAACATCTGAAGCCAGCCACGGGATGCTTTGAAGTCCTCCATGGCCATAGTTAGCGCCATGGAGCTCACATTCTCCCTATTTAGCGGTGCAGTTAGCGGAAGGTTTTTAGCACCATAACAGGTAATGCATTCAAGGAAACGTTCATTCACTCGACTCTCCGTCGAGCCGCTAGCGATTCACTCTGAGCAGGGAAATTTAAATAAAATGCATTATTATTATTATTATTAAGACGGTACATATACAAGTTTTTTTTTTTCAAAAAACTGCATTTGTTGACGGTCCATATCAAACATGAACAGAACAAAGGAATTCAAGTATGAATCTACTTTTTTTCATGAGAACAGTGTTGTTGATCACCTATTTCAGCCAGTGCATTGCTGCAGACGAGTTGTGGTCCAACCAGTAGAAGTAGAGCGGTACAATAAGTATTTTCTAGTCATGAACCATATTTGCGGTGTCCAATCTTTCCTTATAACAGAGTTTCCGTTTGCGGGATACGACTACCTACCTATGTGGGATGTCCTTTATGAACGTGCAAGTATGTTACCAACAAACACGTGTGACAACACAAGCAACAAATTGCAACCATATGTTGACCAAAAAGTGTTTCTACCACAAAAACTGCAGCATACAGTACAGGTATGTGAACCAAATAGTCCAAACAAAGTTTGCTGCAAAATGAGACGAGTAAGAGACCTGGTGGCTTTTCTTTCCACTCACCCGCTGTCTCAAATTTGACCTCCCCTCGATCACCACCCAAAGCTCATCTGATGTCGTGCAACAAACATCTGAAGCCAGCCACGGGATGCTTTGAAGTCCTCCATGGCCATAGTTAGCGCCATGGAGCTCACATTCTCCCTATTTAGCGGTGCAGTTAGCGGAAGGTTTTTAGCACCATAACAGGTAATGCATTCAAGGAAACGTTCATTCACTCGACTCTCCGTCGAGCCGCTAGCGATTCACTCTGAGCAGGGAAATTGGCAGAATTTTCTAAGTCTTTTAGATTTGAGTCTTTGCAACTCCAAGCGTCTCCTGAATGTTTTTTACGATGTAACCCGCTTAGCTTTATCGGGTGCGTTTTACTTTCTCTTCCGCGGTCATGACCGGTCCTCTTCATTGACATGCCATGATCTACAGCAGTGTCTTTTTCCAGCCAAGGCACATTTCTTTTGCTGAAAAAATCCCGCGGCACGCCACTAGCTTGAAAATATGAAAACAATTTTATTTTAACAATTAGTGTTATGTTGTTATTATAAGAGTTTTTTTTTTACATTGAAGAATAACGTTCTATTATAACACCTTGAATAGGAATCAAATCAACAGCAATCCAATATTTTATAATCTTTCATATTTATTCTCCCTCAGTGTGATAAAAGGTTTGGATGACCACAGTTCTTATATCCTGGCAGATCACAGATCATGTATCCAATAGATACATGTAAAACTTCCCTTCGAGTCAAACGCACAATACGTTGTCAACTATTGAAGAACATTTGTTGTTTAGCAAATTTCTCCATTGTGGGACAAATAAAGGTTTTCTTATTGTGGTGTATTAACCACCATAGTTATTTGTATGTTGTTTGGACGCATTGAGTTTCCGTACTCTGTATTGCCATCTACTGCGCATGTGTAAAATGTTACCGTGAATGTCTCAGTCGCTTCCCCACGTTGTTAATGGCGGAACTCAACGGTCGAATACAAAATAGAAAACGCGTGTGTGTGCCTCGTCATTTCAAGACACAACATCTGGCGACGAGTAAAAGTCGATTTTAGGGTAAGATGGCTTACTTTTCTCAAAGACCGGACGAGTTTAAACCCGAAAATGAATCTTGGTCTGCCTATGTGGAACACATGGAACTGCTGTTCGAGGCGCATGATGTCAACGACGACAAGAAAGTTGCCGTTTTACTGAGCTCCTTGGGCGCATCGGCATATGGACTTCTCCGTAATTTAGTGCAACCTGCCAAGCCCAGAGACAAGACTTTTGCGGAAATTGTTTCCACGTTGAGGAATTACTATGAGCCCAAGCCATTGGTGATATCGGAGCGTTTCAGATACCGGAAAGGTGTGCAGAAGAACAGCCAGACGGTTACTGAATTTGCCGCTGAGCTACGTCAACTCGCTACAAGGTGTGATTTCGGGGACAGACTGGACGAGGCTCTCCGTGATGGCTTCGTCAGCGGTGTTGCTTCC